TTACACCAGAATAGCAGAATTTAAACCACAGAGAATTGTCAAATTTGGCTTTTTCACCCTAAAGAAGCACTATAGCGTTAGGAATACAGAGCTGCATTCTCCCCCTCGGAGGGTTAAAATAAAAACCTTTTAATCACTTACCTGTTTCCTGGCTCCGTCTCCACCTCCTCCTATGTCAGCGGACAGCTAATGAGCATGCGTGGCAAGCACCCCACTAATTCATTAGCACTGAATCAACGCTTCCCTATGAGGATTTTCAAGACACGGGACGTCCTAATGCAGAGTGAGTTAAACTCCGTGTAAATGCAGGAAGTGGCTGTCTGGAAGACTAGTGGTAGCCTTAATCATGCGATATAAACATTGCAGTTTTTCTAAATCATGATTTTCACTGTAGGCCAATGGGGACATGGACACTGCACCCAGACATCTTCAATGAGAGGAAGTGTCCCTTTTATTTTACTTCGAAGTTTCTGGAAATGCCTTAGTGACTAGACCAGGACCAGGTGTTATGGGTCAGCGTGAAAGAACTCTGATAATGGCAAAACATTAACGATATTTGTAAACCTTATGACTTGCTCTTTAATTGCTGGCTTTAAATGGTTGTCGGGATAATTCGTATACATCAGTCGGACGATTTATTTAATACGATCTACTTTACTAACCATTCCGGAGTGTGGCGCCCCGATTCCAGCAAGGTTTGCAAAGCAACACATTCTACCAGGATTCAGGGCGCTGTTCACGCACAAGAACCTCTTTGTACTTTTTTTTTTTTATATATATTTTCCCCTGGAATATCTCACCAGAAATTTACAGATTGAAGTGAGGCGTGTGTCAGTTTTGTGTAAAAGTGGGGTCTGTGCCACCCATGTCCTCCCCTCAGTCCACCCTCTCCTGGTAGCAAGGGGACAGGATTAGGGGATAGAACTTGGCCTCAGCCTCAGGTTTATTCTTTTTTTTTTTTTTTTAAGGTGGTGGGCAGTGCAAGGGTTACTATAAAAGCAACGTTTTTTTTTTTTATAAGACTGCTTGGGCTAACCCTTTAAAGGGACGCCGCATGAGCAATGCACATCAGTTTTACGCAGGTAACAGTGACTCTCAGCTCGATTATCTTGCCCCTATCTGCTGGCGGAATGATATAAGGATACAGATCCAGCATCGCTCACAATCTGAAGGATGATAGTGATAGAACTTCTGGGGTGCAGAGCTCCTATAATGACAGACTCGCACGTCTCCCGAATCAGCAGCTCCTGGCTCTTCTCCTGAATGGCTGAAAGGAATGGAAAGAGTAAAAAAAACATGAGATAAATGTGGAGTTCCAGCTGGGTACGACAAACAAAATGGCAAAAAAAAAAAAGGCACAAACGGGGGGTGTGAAATCAAACCAGTAAGAGAAGGAAGGGTAACAGGAATAGGATGGAAACCCAGATGGACAAAGATCCATACACACACAATGACAGACAGAATCACACAGACACCCTATATAGTTTTGTTATTTGTTGAAAACCAGAGCACGGGGGAGAGATTGACGAATAACTGAAAAGCCACAATTGCTACACAAGGTGTAGTGTGTGTGTATAGATGTAAGTGTGTATGCGCGTGTGTGTGTGTGAGGTGTGTGTGGGTGGCAAGATTGGCTAGTATTCAGGAGTAGAGTATAAACAGACCTTAAAGAGAAAAGGGCAATAATAGTTTAATGTAAATATAAAATATGCGGATAACGCTTGGGCAGTATTTTATATTAATGAATGACCATCTGAATATGTATGATTGATTAACTGCAAGACTTAGTATATACTTAGTATAGATTGTTAAAATAGAAGGAAGATGCTGGGCCTTTCATACGTGTGAAAGTAAACAGGTTATAAAAACCAATGTAGAAGCCTCATTGTAAATGAAGTAATAGTAATGAAGAGCATATGTATTTTATTTTATGTTATTGTTTTGTCCTGTAATCTTTATTTTTATTTTTTTAAATGTTCTGTTGAAAAAGAAATGAAAGTTATAAATAAATTTTAAAAAAAGATGTAAAGTGTGTATGCGTGTGTGAGAGTAGTGGTGTGTATGCGTGTGTGTGAGTAGTGGTGTGTATGCGTGTGTGTGAGTAGTGGTGTGTATGCGTGTGTGTGAGTAGTGGTGTGTATGCGTGTGTGTGAGTAGTGGTGTGTATGCGTGTGTGAGAGTAGTGGTGTGTATGCGTGTGTGAGAGTAGTTGTGTGTATGCGTGTGTGAGAGTAGTGGTGTGTATGCGTGTGTGAGTAGTAGTGGTGTGTATGCGTGTGTGAGTAGTAGTGGTGTGTATGCGTGTGTGAGTAGTAGTGGTGTGTATGCGTGTGTGAGTAGTAGTGGTGTGAGGTGTGTGTGGGTGAGTGAAGGGAGGGAATTAGGGGTGTTGTGTTGGCTGATATTCTGATCAGTCCTGACCAACTAGGATACTAATTTTAGCCAATTCGAAAACACAAGACTTGGGAGAATTTTGCCAGATTGGCTACTGTGACCATAAATGTAAGTGTCCAGTGTAACTCCCCAGTTCAATCCCCGTCAATCACCACCCCCCCCCATCCCCGTCAATCACCACCCCCCTATCCCCGTCAATCACCACCCCCCACCTATCCCGTCAATCACCACCCCTATCCCGTCAATCACACCCCCACTACATCCCGTCAATCACCACCCCCTCCATCCCGTCAATCACTCCCGTGAATCACCCCCCCCCCGATCCCTGTCATATCTGCTCTTATTTGGCGCAGATGACCCCTGGGGAAACCAGGAGGGAACGGGGAATAGGAAAGAAAATAAACTAACCACGAAATTAAAATTAGATTATGATAATTTCTTAAAGCGGGCCATGCGAGACACTCACCTGGTAGTCCTACTTTGGGCCTTAGTATCACCTCAATGGTGGCCTTGTCATGCAGCTCTCTGCTAACCTTAATCTCCGCTGGGCCATATACTCCCGCCAGGACAGATGTGTCCCCTTTAAGAGTTGAGATATGAGCATTAATAAAAAGGTTACAGTAAGTACAGAAGTGATAGGAATATTAAAGGTAAAGTGAGTACAGGAGAGATAGGAGTATTAATAAAGGTTACAGCACTACAGAAGAGATAAGAGTGTTAATGGTTACGGTACGTACAAGAGAGAAAGCATTAATAAGGGTACAATAAGTACAGGAGAGAGGAGTATTAATAAAGGTACAGTAAGTACAGGAGAGATAGGAGTATTAATAAACGTTACAGGAGTATTAAGATACAGTAAGTACAGGAGTATTAATAGAGGTAGAGTAAGTACAGGAGAGAGGAGTATTAATAGAGGTACAGTAACTAAAGGAGAGAGGTGTATTAATAAAAGTTACAGGAGTATTAAGATACAGTAAGTACAGGAGAGACGGGAGTATTAATAGCGGTACCGTAAGTACAGGAGAGATAGGAGAATTAAATATATTGGTAGTTATTGTTACCCCCGGTGGGGTAGTTATCGGTTAGTTACCCCCGGTGGGGTAGTTACTGGTTATTACCCCCGGTGGGGTAGTTACTGGTTATTATCGGTTAGTTACCCCTGGTGGGGTAGTTACTGGTTATTATCGGTTAGTTACCCCTGGTGGGGTAGTTACTGGTTATTATCGGTTAGTTACCCCTGGTGGGGTAGTTACCGGTTGCTATTGCCCCCGGTGGGGTAGTTACCGGTTGCTATTGCCCCCGGTGGGGTAGTTACCGGTTGTAAAAAACGGTAAAGAAATAAAAAAAAAAATTTAAAAAAATTTCACTCTTTAAAATTCCATTTTGTAATTATATATATATATAGATATATATCTATTTTATAATATATCATATTTTTATCTTTAAGGTAAGGTTATGGCTCAATCTGGACATTTCAATTAGGTTGATTTTCAACTTTGTGCACGAAAATACATTTCTATATACCTTTAAACAATGAGTCTTAGCATTTATAAAGTGGCAGCTTATGTAGACTTTTTTCTGCCTACCTATACTTTGCTGCTTAATCTGCGCAATCTTTATATCTTAATAAAGCAATAACTTAGAAAATTCTCCGCTTTATTCATCTAAGATCTAAACGTTTGACACATAATGGAAACGGCATACAGAGGGGGCGTCTCAATATTGTCTATTCCGCCCCTGTAAAGACATGATTTGCTGTTGCGATCGCCAATCACACGCACCACGCCTACCAGGCTGGAACATTTGTCTGATTGGCCGCTGGGTGGTACTGGGGGGGGGGGCGGGTCTATTGACCGCCGCCCGCCGGGATGTTTTGGCCTATCCCTTGAGTACAATACAATTTAGAACCGCCCATGACCGACGTTTCGCGAGATAATTGGTTGTGTGACGTCCTGAGGGGCGCGGCCTAACGTTTTAAAACACAGGCTGACTCGGACTCGGTTTAGCTCTTTAAGGCAAGAAAGCGCCGAAACGCGTTGAGCTTTGCTATGCAGCTCTCTAACTGCTTTTTAGTTTAATAGGGATTCGAATGGATCTTTACTGAGCATATTTGATTCTACTTCACCTTAGGGTCCCCTTTTCTCTTCCCACTAGGATTGATTTAGGATGGGGGCGTTATTCGCTGTCAGGATATAACAGCTGAGTAGATATCTGTATGGTTACAATACTGTTTCTTTATAGCCTTACTGGGGGCACAGTACGAAGTGTCTAATTGGGAAACGACACTTATTTTTCTGTTTCCCAGATACTTTGAGACTCATTGGGTCTGCCTGGGTGGAGGTAGGGTGTTGGTCCCTTCACCATTCTTTTCCGTTTTAGACCACACAGGGACTTACATCTATATATACATACTCACTCTAATACTACTCTTATGTCTTAATATCTTTATTAATATTTTCATGTTTGGTATATTTATCCTCTCCACTAACATTTCTTAATGGGTTGCCAGCGCTCTAACTGACAGGCTCTATAGTTCAAAGTGTCTTATTTGATCAATGGGAATGTTTCCCTTTTTGGACACTTTTGTTACAATATAGTGTTACTATTGCATTTTGATTTTGGGCCTGCCACCCTCATGACCAACACAGAATATCTTTTGAATATTTATATCTACTGTAGCTGAACATCTATTTATACCATGATATCCAACTTCGTGCTCGTTTGAGGGTATTGTACTGACATTTTGCCCTTTGAGAAGTGATTGCGCCACATTATAATCTTATCAATGATTTATTACAAATGATATTTGACACACGTCTACTTTGGAACAAGACTAATATATATTTGTCTAAGTATTATCCATACAGGTCCAGGTGCGTTTTTGACTGATGTTGAGAAGATATTTTGCCCGTTTATTAGCTCCCTTTCGGAGCATTGCCAGTAATTTCCACTAGATCCCCCTTTTCTAACCACGTATACACTTTGCACGATTTTTTTCTTTTCACGTTTTTGTTTTTATTTATTTCAATAAAGGTTAAGTTCATTTGATTTATTTTTTATTATTTGTCCGTTTTTTGAGCTAGATATTGTACTTGGGTAAGACCTGAGTCTGTGTGGTATTATTCTGGACCCCAGGAGTGTATCTTGGTGTTTTTTTCATTTCACACAGTAACTCAGTACTTGTTACTCTCCTTTGTCTTTTAGTTACTGGTTGTTATCGATTAGTTACCCCCCCGGTGGGGCAGTTACCGGTTGTAATTGCCCCCGGCGGGGTAGTCACCGGCAGTTACCCCCGGTGGGGCAGTTATCCCCCAGTTACCCCCGGTGGGTTAATAATAATAATAATCCCACCGGAGGTAACTAATAATAATAATAACCTCACCGGGGGTAACTAATAATAATAATCCCACCGGGGGTAACTAATAATAATATTATTATTATGATTAGTTACCCCCGGTGGGGTTATTATTATTAGTTAACCCCACCGGAGGTAACTAATAATAATAATAATAACCTCACCGGGGGTAACTAATAATAATAACCCCACTGGGGGTATTATTATTAGTTACCCCCGGTGGGGTTATTATTATCGGTCAGTTACCCCCGGTGGGTTATTATTAGTTACCCCCGGTGGGTTATTATTATTATTAGTTACCCCTGGTGGGGTTATTATTATTATTATTTACCCCCGGTGGGGTTATTATTATTAGTTACCCCCGGTGGGGTTATTATTATTATTAGTTACCCCGGTAGGGTTATTATTAGTTACCCCCGGTGGGGTTATTATTATCGGTCAGTTAACCCCTGGTGGGGGGTTATTATTATCGGTCAGTTACCCCCGGTGGGGGGTTATTATTATCGGTCAGTTACCCCCGGTGGGGGGTTATTATTATTATTATTATTATTATTAATTACCCACCGGGGGTAACTGACCGATAATAACCCCACCGGGGGTAACTAATAATAATATTATTAGTTACCCCCGGTGGGGTTATTATTATTATTAGTTAACCTCACCGGGGGTAACTAATAATAATAATAATAATAATAATAATAATAATAATAATAACCCCACCGGGGGTAACTAATAATAATAATAACCTCACCGGGGTTATTATTAGTTACCCCCGGTGGGGTTATTATTATTAGTTACCCCCGGTGGGGTTATTATTATTAGTTACCCCCGGTGGGGTTATTATTATTAGTTACCCCTCGGTGGGATTATTATTATTAGTTACCCCTCGGTGGGGTTATTATTATTATTAGTTACCCGCGGTGGGATTATTATTATTATTAGTTACCCGCGGTGGGATTATTATTATTATTATTATTATTAGTTACCCCCCGGTGGGATTATTATTAGTTACCCCCCGGTGGGATTATTATTAGTTACCCCCTGGTGGGATTATTATTAGTTACCCCCCGGTGGGGCAGTTATCCGTTAGTTACCCCCGGTGGGGTATTTATTATCCGTTAGTTACCCCCAGTGGGGTAGTTATTATCCGTTAGTTACCCCCAGTGGGGTAGTTATTATCCGTTAGTTATCCCCCTGTGGGGTTATTGGTCAGTTACCCCCCGGTGGGGTATTATTATTATTAGTTACCCCCGGTGGGGTTATTATTATTAGTTACCCCCGGTGGGGTTATTATTATTAGTTACCCCCGGTGGGATTATTATTATTAGTTACCCCCGGTGGGATTATTATTATTAGTTACCCCCGGTGGGATTATTATTATTAGTTACCCCTCGGTGAGATTATTATTATTAGTTACCCCTCGGTGGGGTTATTATTATTAGTTACCCGCGGTGGGATTATTATTATTATTATTATTATTAGTTACCCCCCGGTGGGATTATTATTATTATTAGTTACCCCCCGGTGGGATTATTATTATTAGTTACCCCCCGGTGGGATTATTATTATTAGTTACCCCTCGGTGGGGTTATTATTATTAGTTACCTGCGGTGGGATTATTATTATTATTAGTTACCCGCGGTGGGATTATTATTATTATTAGTTACCCGCGGTGGGATTATTATTATTATTAGTTACCCGCGGTGGGATTATTATTAGTTACCCCCCGGTGGGATTATTATTATTAGTTACCCCCGGTGGGGTTATTATTATTATTAGTTACCCCCGGTGGGGTTATTATTATTATTAGTTACCCCCGGTGGGGCAGTTATTATCGGTTAGTTACCCCCCGGTGTGGTTATCGGTCAGTTACCCCCCTGTGGGGCAGTTATCCGTTAGTTACCCCCGGTGGGGTATTTATTATCCGTTAGTTACCCCTGGTGGGGTAGTTATCCGTTAGTTACCCCCAGTGGGGTAGTTATGATCGGTTAGTTATCCCCCTGTGGGGTAGTTATCTGTTAGTTACCCCCCGGTGGGGTTATTATTGGTCAGTTACCCCCGGTGGGGCAGTTATTATTATTATTATTAGTCAGTTATTACCCCTGGTGGGGCAGTTATTATCGGTCAGTTACCCCCAGGTGGGGTAGTTATTATTATTAGTTACCCCCCGGAGGGGCAGTTATTATTATGATCATTATTTCGGTCAGTTACCCCCCGGTGGGGTAGTTATTATTATTGTTATTATTATTATTATTTAGTATTAGTAGATAGTAGGTAGTATTAATTATTATTTATTATTAGTAGATAGTAGGTAGTATTAATTATTATTATTTATTATTAGTAGATAGTAGTATGATTATGGTTATTATTATTATTGTTGTTATTAATATTATTATTTAGTATTAGTAGTAGGTAGTATTATTATTAGATAGTAGTTAGTAGTTACCGTGCAGGAAGGCGGCGGACCCGTCGCTCCGGCTCAGCACTCTCAGTTCGCAGCCGATCTCCCGCAGCCCGGGTTCCTCCATCCTCCGATAAACACGTGCTGCCGCCGCCGCTGCTTCCGGGGTCCTGGGCCGGGCTGCCCCGCGCGATGCCTGTCTGCCCCTCCCAGCGGGGCCCCCGGGGGCCACAGTCAGCGGGAGGGGGGCTTCCTGCGGGGGGAGCTTCCGGGGCTGAGGGGCCTATCCCAGGCCGGGGCCCTCGGGGGGGCTACCGGGGGAGGGGCTGCACCAATCCGGGC